AAGGAGAAGATAAGAGAGTGAGAGCGCGAACATATTTGTGTGTTAACGTGTGATTACCTGCAACTGATGACATTCTTAATTAAAGTAATGTAACTATAATACGTCATTAAACTATCACATGAATTCCTTTCTATGCATTTATTTGGGGTGGCCTATTGCTACTGTATGTTTATTGCTAGTCAACTTAATGGTGTACTAATTTAGGACGTGTGGTAGTGACCCTAGGTACAGCTTACTGCCGTAATTACTATGAGTGAGATTGAGGTCGTAACGATGCCGCACAAGAACGGCCAAACAGCGCAAATTAAATATTGATTCTGGGACAATCCTAATGAAGACTGATAGTCACAGAAATCAGGAACAAGGAGGACGGATTTTTCCCGGTTATAGATAAGAAAAATATAGAGCAAACCAATAGATTATTCCGCGTTTATTATATATTACAACAACAAAGACAACACGGCATATTGACAAAAACACTACTCTATCCTGCCGAGGTTGTAAAAATATAGGCGTCAAAATATAGGCAGACAGTTTATAAGACAATATTTTGAACGGATTAAAGTCAATATTTAAGGTTGGAACAAACGATTGTAGACGACGACGTACGTACGTCGTCTAGTTTGTAGATTAATCGTGTGAATTTTATCTAAGCTTTTATACACTGCGGACTCTTAGTTATTTCATATAGCGTAATCACTAACACGACAAAGCCGCCTAATAATATCTACCTCAAATTACCATATAATATCGATCCTAGATAATTACTAAATAATGTTACGCTAAACTTATAACGCCATAGACTGTGTAGAATGATTGCTCTGTCTCGCCACGGGTGCAATGGTTGCAACGCACAATGCGCGTTGAGAAGATTAACTAAACAAAATCGGCAAACTAAACAACAATGTCAAATAAAATGCAAGGCGAACACATAAAGCCAACGCTACATACAGTAGGAATAGAACATGCTATTTACCTTCATGTTCTACACAAATTTACTCAGAGTAAGTTTCGCGCCGAGACGCACAAACACACAACACGCGCGTACCACGTCACACACCCTCACGAGGCAACCACAAACACACACACACAGCACGTACTACACAAGCACGCACAAAACAAACACACGGAACGCACGCAAAACAGCACGAACGCACGGCATACACCACCACCACATGCTCCCACTCAACACCCACACACGCACGCACGCACGCCGACATGGCGCATCACACACGCTCCACACGACCACACAACGCAACGCACGCCACGCTACACACACGCCACGATCCACCACCGCACCAAGAACGCCGCACACACACGCACGTACCATCACAACGCGCACACAACACTCATCACCACGACACACACATCACACACCATACATATATAGTATATTATATATATATTACGTTGTTGTGGTATAAGAGAGAGAGAGAGAGAGAGACAGAGGAACGTGAGATAGACACGCGGCAGAGATTCTAACGAGAAGCTAGATAAGCTTACATATCTGTATTTCTCGTCAGGTGGCGACCAGTCGTAGATGCGCAGCGTGCCGAAGCTAACGATGTACAGCTCGGGAGACTCCAGCCTGAGACACACATGTCAGACAGCAGAGCATGAGATAATCAGACATGAGAGACAGCAGAGAATGAGATATTATCAGACGCATGAGAGACAGCAGAGAATGAGATATAATCAGACATGAGAGACAGCAGAGAATGAGATAATAAGACAAATGAGAGACAGCAGAGAATGAGATATTATCAGACGCATGAGAGACAGCAGAGAATGAGATATAATCAGACATGAGAGCAAAGAATGGGATAATCAGACATGAGAGATAGCAGAGAATGAGATAATCAGACAAATGAGGGACAGCAGAGAATTAGATAATCAGACAAATGAGAGACAGCAGAGCCTGAGATATTATCAGACATGAGCGCAGAGAATGGGATTATCAGACATGAGAGACAGCAGAGCATGAAATAATCAGACATGAGAGATAGCAGAGAATGAGATAATCAGACATGAGGGACAGCAGAGAATGAGATAATCAGACATGAGAGACAGCAGAGCATGAGATAATCAGACATGAGAGCAGATGTCTTACAAGAAGATTAACATGAATATATCTCGAAATTTATGTACATTATCTCATTAAACACACACGCACACACATACGCGCGCACACACGCGCGCATGCACGCACACACACGCATGCATACACACACACACACATACACATACGCGCGCATGCACACACACACACGCGCGCACATACACACACACACGCATGCATACACACACACACACACGCGCGCATGCACGCACAAACACAGGTGCATGCACGCACAAACACGCGCACACACATACGCACACACGCGCGCATGCACACACAAACACGCGCACACACATACGCACACACGCGCGATGCACGCACAAACACGGGCGCATGCACGCAAAAACACGCGCACAGACACACGCGCACACGTAATGTTCTTTCATCATGTCACGTTTATCTTTTGCCGACGCCTGGTTGTAAATACGTCGTTGCTATGGCGACTAAAAGCAGACGATAGAAGAAGCACGTGTACCCGTTGACGCAGTGAGCGGCAGTGGCGACCCAGTTCTCTGTTATGAGCACACCGCCACAGATGAAGCCAAGCTGCCAGTCAGAGTTGACGAGCCGCCAGCGATAGAGCGCCACCTAGTGACAATACACTTGGTCATATTTAATCGTGAGGATGTTGTAAATTTGATAACATACTATATATATATATATATATATATATATAATTATCCTTATAATCCCGGTGTTTACCTGGTAAGGTTTATCGGCTATGTCGGCTACTGGGTCTCCTCCCACAATGAATCCATCTCCTACCTGCTCCCTGCCAGCTACAGGTAACAACAATCAACCACCGCGATATATCAACTCATATATATACCATGCACCCTATCATTGCCAGTTACCGATGGACCGCTACTCGATAATGCTAGAGTAGATTATGGTACAAATTGCATAAAAAATACATTGTACCGACATTTGATCATTCGTTCACATTTTTTTGAAGCAGCATCGACTATCTCCTACGGGTCGAGATGTTTATAGATTCGCTTTAATTAAATTGTTAATATTATTATTAATTAATGGTATATTATTATTTTTTTCTTTAATATAAAAATATTATATTAGCATATTATTTAAATTTTTTTTTTTCGACCGTCGTAGCGTGGCCTATGTCGTCTCGTGGTGCGTGGAGCCGCATCAAGCCGCTACGAATACAGGGTGTATATACACGTAGTTATACCGCGTGAACACACTCACTCTCTTTCGCATCCGGCACGCGGAGACCATTCGGCAGTATCGGAAACGAGGGCGGGTCATCGTTATACTCTATAGCTTCCTCGGGATCCGACGGAGGGCGCCTCCGGTTACCGCCCTGAGCATCTGTTGACAGAGAAAGAAGGAGAACATGAGAGGGAGAGAGAGAGAGCGATGGGCGATGGGGAGAGAGCAAGAGCGAGAGAGAGAGAGAGAGAGTGCGCGAGGGGAGAGAGCGAGGGAGAGAAAGCGCGAGTGGGAGAGAGCGAAGGAGAGGGGTAGAGAGCGAGGGTGAGAGAGCGAGGGGGAGAGAGAGAGTGCGAGAGAGAGAGAGAGAGCGCGAGAAAGAAAGAGAGAGCGAAAGCGAGAAAAGAGATAGAGAGAAGAGAGCGAGGGGGAGAGAGGCAGAGCAAGCTGAGAGTAGAGCGAGTGGAGCGGAGCGAGGGAGAGAGAAAGCAGAGACGAGAGAGCAGAGAGAGGGGAGAGCAGTGCGTGCACCGAAGAGAGGGAGGAAAGAATTGAGTGGCGAGACGGAAAGCGAGAGCGTATAGAGATAGATAGATAGATAGATAGATGATAGATAGATAGATAGATAGATAGATAATAGATAGATAGATAAATAAAGATAGATAGTAGATAGATTAGATAGATCAAAGAGATTAGATAGATAGATGATATGATAGATGAGATACGATAGAAGTATAGATAGATAGATAAATAGATACGTAGATAGATAACTAGATAGATAGATAAATAGATAGATAGATAGATAGATAGATAGCATAGATAAATAGATAGATAGATAGATTGATAAGATTAGATAGATAGATAGATAGATAGATAGATAGATAGATACGATAGATAGAGTAGATAGATAGACAGACAGACAGAGCGGGAGAGACTAGGAATTTTGATTATGTATTTCTTGTCACCATTATTTCAGTTAACTTTCCGCGCGCGCGCATACACCACTCGACACGTGAGCACAACACTTCATGTAGGTCAATATATTCACCCACTGCCGTCTGGTCAGTTTCACTCGACATGAATAAAGCCAGCCAAGATAAATCGACAAGGTGATCATCTCTCTACAGAAGTCGCCAACGATGCTTACGCGCTGGTGGGGAAGGAAGGCCGCGCTGCCAGCGCGGCACGCGATTGACGTATTTCTACGCGCATGATTTGATGACGTTGTTCTCACTCGGCAGGCGTTTGCTATAAGGAAGCCTATTGGTCCGAAACAAATCAAAATGAAATCCAACATACCGCACCGGACACATGAACGATTTGAAATCACAAGCAAACGTCAACACGAGCACCAATATTCGAAACCAATTCTCATACGAACAGCGATATCGAAACCTACATTTCAAGCACGAGCACAAAATATCAAAACCAAACCGCACCGGTAAAATCTTCTCTGTGTCGGACACCGCGCCAACGACGCTAATCTCGGCGTACTCATCTTAGGTCGCTGCCAATATATCTCACGACAACATTATGCCCAACGCGAGTCTGAACCCTTGCAGCTGGAAAGAGCGCCCGTTCTCACTTATGGCCAGGTCATTCGGCCAAACTACCGGTAGAGTCATCGACCGCTAGAGGGCGGGCCGAGCACATTACTAGAGCCACATTCATTAGTAATTAAATGACGGATTGGCCGTGTGTGTGATTAGCTCGTGCGTCATCACCGAGGTGTCCTAACTGACCGGCGGACATTTAAACTGTCCGTGAGCTAGAACGCTTTCGCTTCGGCGACGGCAACGTCGTTTGTCCTGAAAACTGTCTCGGCTACGTGTCACCCCCACCGTATTCATTACATCCGATTGTTGATTATATCCATGTGTTGCGGCGGACGCTAACATCGTATTTGTCTGCAAAACTGTTTTGCTTTCGTTGTTTCGAGTGATCAGCCATGTGGTACGGACTCTAGCGTCGAGCGAGTATAGGTCCTAAGCTAATCTACGTTCCTTCACTTGCGGGGCAACAACACGGAGGCGGAAAAGCGCCGTGAAACATCAATCTCCGTCGTTCGTGCACGTTCTGTCTTTCTGAGCTGCTGTTATATAGTGATCTCATTTCGCCTGTTTTCGGGCAGCTCATCGTACTAGTATATCGTAGACCAACTAGTTACACGGTTGATTTACGATGTTGACAGTTGATTTTGCCCTGAACCTGACGTAGAGAAGCGTACCAGACGTCAATGCGTACACGATCGAGAACAATTAATGTTTAAAGCACTGTTAAAATATTACGCGTACAGCTATGGCTTCCACACTCGTCACACTTCTTTCTGCCCGCGGATACCAAATAAATTCAACTTTACCGAAAGCTTTAAGATTAAATATTTCTCAAAAAAAGCTAAAGCGATCATACATTGCATCTGCTAAGATAGCAGGCAACGTAAAACTTCACATTAAAACAAGTTAAAACAAGTTAACTTTGTGAAAACGCTCTGTTGAGTACTAAAGTTTCTCAAGCAGTTGAATCTAGGCGTGCAATTGATCGTAAAGTTCGTCGGTTCTGAATTACAGATGTTGCTGTTTGCGCTGGCGACGGTCAAATCCAATAGCTATTAGAAAGACAGCAACAGTTGCGACAAAATGTGGCCGCAACCAAGTTAACAAACATACAATTTTTATTGCGGTTAAGACAAGATGAGCAGCCAGTGCAGCCGCTGGTCTGCAGCAACTTGCAGCGAATGACATTTGGGCGCAGCACTTAAATACTGTGTCGCGTTTCAACTAAAGCTCGCCTTAGTTTCGTCACATAGGTGCGGGTGGTACGTGCGCATGCGTCGTGCCTGAGCGGTGTGTTTCTTGCTACGGAAAATGTGTCGAGCGAGGAATGAGGGCCGCAGCGATGACTATGGTGAACAATGTGTGTGTGTGTGTTGTGTGTGTGTGTGTGTTTGTTTGTTTGTTTGTCGGTGTGAATGTGTGTGGATGTGTGTGTGTGTGTATGTTGTGTTTGTTTGTTCTGTTTGGGTGTGTGTGTGTGGTGTGTGTGTGTGTCTCTGTGTGTGTGTGTGTCTCTCTCTCTGTGCTGCCCTGTTGTGAAGTTGTGATGTGTTGTGTGTGTGTGTGTTGAGATAAGTTCAGGCGACACCAAATGCGGTCGTGCGTGCGGAATGTAGTGTTGCTGCTGCGTAGCTCGGCTGTGTGTACTGTATGTACATCCCCGAGCTGCACGATGCGCGAGTGCGATCACTGTGTTGCGTAGGCGTTCTGTTGACCCTCGGTTAGCAACTACGTGATAATTACGAATCTCTAATTAAAGAATTAATGAAGAAGATCCGCTATATACAAAAACACTTAAACGACTTAGTTGCATACAAAAAACATCAAACCAAACATCAAAATCCAGTAGCAAAACAACGT